ATCGCCAGTCCTTATGGGTTTGTTTGGTAAAGAGTCGATTTTGCTAGGTTACCCAAGCTTGTAATACTCCTGCCTCCTGCTCTCAAGTAGCTTGGGTTACAGGTATGTGCTACCATGCCCAGCAAAACACAACACTTTAAACTTGAGCCATTCCTCAAAGCATAGTCCTCAGTTCTTCAGTTCTTCTGGGACGTTAGGCAGTGGTTCCAGAATCTGTGGTCCTTGGCCTCGACTTCTCTTTGCTCCTATCTAGAACGGGACTGTTCCTTCCTCTGCAACTCATGCTAAGAAAGCCAAACCTTATTGAGCTCAGCCTGGCTCTGGGAGACTCTCATAGTTGGTTAACAGATACAGTGATCCCAAATGATCAGTAATTATATCATATTGGCCCTGAGATAGCTTGGCAGTTTTCACCAACTCTGTAACCTCCCAAAGGTAGATTTGATCAGATGGCACTATGAGAGCCAGGGCCTGGCCTCAGCCGGAGAAGGGATTTCTGCATTGTACCAGCACAGCTGAGGGAAACGGACATTTCTGTTCACACAGAACATTGGGAACTGGTTCTCACCCTGTAAGTCACCATAGAAATCATCACTGTGCCCAGGAAAAGGCCAGCAATCTGGGAGTGGAAGCTTACTATTTCAAAACCATGTAGCGGGATGTCTAGGTTGATATTCTTGTGTAGCCACTGGATGGCAGAGTTTGGACATTTGATTCCCGTTGGATGGTACTAAGGGCTTGCACTAATAGTGTAGAATTGTTTACATAGCTAAAGCTTTGAGGGTGTTTGGAAAATTTAAAACTTAAATAAGCATGGAAAATTAGTTTTGTTTACCCAGAAAACTAGGGTTTTGAAGTCACAAAACTCAAACACTGAGAATTTGAACTTGGAGCTGAGCAGTCTCTGTATTCCTCTTAGAAAAGAACTCCACAACCTTGAACAACGTCTCTGGACCTCGGTGAACTCAAATGCAAAATAGGATGGTTTTGATAAGAGGTTGTCTCTAAAGCATCTTCTGGCTCAGATATTCTCTTCTACATTATTTCATATATCAGCTTGATATATATATGAGAACTCAAAGAAACACCTTCTAAGTTATTACTCAGGAAACACCAACTGACATTCATAAATGCTGCTATTAATTGAGAACCTACTAGGTGCCAGTACTAGACCAAACCTATTATGAGTATTACCTAATTTAATTATCCTTATCATAATATTAATAGCCTAGATTAGGAAAATGAAGCTTCAAGATGTTTGTTAACCCAAATCATACAGCTAATGGCCAAACTGTTGTTTGCCCATTACCTTGCATGTACCTTGCTGTGTTTCATCCTTTGGTTAGCTGAGAAAAACATAAATATGAAGACAGCATTGCTGCTGGAGGAAATACTAATTCTGCATATTTAAACCCCTCGCTTCTCCAAGGGAAACTGACTTTCATTATACATTTTTAAGGGGTCAGATGTACATGGCTCTATCCTTCTGTTGGTTTTTATTTTGATATTTTTTGTTTGATTTTTTTATTTGGTTTTTGTGCTGGTACTGGGACTTGAACTCAAGTCCTAGGCACTGTCTCTCAGCCTTTTCTGCTCCAGGCTAGTGCTCTATCACTTGAACGACAGCTCTATTTCTCGCTTTTGGTGGTTAATTGGAGATAAGAGTCTCATAGACTTTCCTGCTTGGGCTGGCTTTGAACAGTGATCCTCAGATCTCAGCCTCCTGAGTAACTGGGATTACAGGCGTGAGCCACCATCATCTGGCTTCTATCCTGTTGTCATTAGATACCTCTTTGGGAGACTAGCTGCATTCCAGACACATGGGCAACCAGGGGACTCCGTGTCCTATCAGGAACAATGTCGTTTCAAATGTGCCTGAAACAATGGCACCAGGTATTTGCAAGGACTCTTTTTAGGACTGGGACTATCTGATGGTGTGTCCATAATCTAATACAGTGTCTAATGTCAGCAGGATTGAGGTTGTTGGATAAACAGTGTTTCTCTACCATTTAACTGTGACAGTAAAGAAACACTATACAGGTGATTGTCACAGGTTGTTATTGGATTAACAGGTGACTTTCCAGACACCAGAGGCTCATGCCTGTAATCCTAGCTATTCAGGAGGCTAAGATCTGATTTAAAGCCAGCCCAGACAGTAAAGTCTATAAGACTCTTATCTCCAGTGAACCACATAAAAATAGCCTAAAGTGAGCCAGGCACCAGTGTCTCAACACCTGTAATCCAGCTACTCAGGAGAAAAGTCAACTCAGGCTCATATCCAATATACTACTCAGAGAAAGTCAGAAGTGGCACTGTGGCTTAAGTGATAGAGTGTTAAACTTGAGCACAAATAGGCTCAGGGACAGAGTCCAGGCCCTGAGTTCAAGCCCCAGGACTGGCAAAAAAAGTCCTAAAGTGGAGGTGTAACTTAAGTGTTAAGAGTACCAGCCTTGAGAAAAAAACTAAAGCATAGTGCCCAGGCCCTGAGTTAAAGCTCTGGCACCTCTACACACACACACACACACACACACACACA